GGCCCTTGCCTTAGACAGCCATTAATCTACTTTCTGTAGCCTTTCTAATAATCTATCTAATAATCTAAAATATAGATTTGATTATTGTGGACCTGTATTATACATGGGATCATACTTGTATGGTCCTTTGTGGTTTTTTTTTTTTTTCCTCCATTTAGCATAATAACAAGATCCGTCCATGTTGTATGTGTTGGTACTTTCTTTTGAAGTGCCCCTGGGTGGATTCAAACCTCTAACTTTTCAGTTAATCACACAGACCTGGACTTAAATCCTGATTTAGTCCCTCACTAATTGAGCAAATTACTTAACCTAAAATAAATCTGTAATTGTAAATTCCTTTTTATCGTCAAATAATATTCCATTGTATGGATTCACATTCATTTATCCATTCATCAGTTAATAGAAATTTGAATTGTCATTTTTTGGGCTGTTATGAATAATGCTTCTATGAATATGCATGTACAAGTTTTTATGTGGACATAGTTTTCATTTCTCTTGAGTAGATAGAGTGGAATTTCTGGGTCGTGGTGACTACTTCATTTATATTTTAACAGGCATTTTGATTTTAGTATTTAGTGATGTTTTTGAACAGACAACATCAATTTGATGATCTTATATGCATTGCCATTATTTTACATTTCTGACAGTTACCATTCTTTATAGCTAAAGATTTCTTTGTAATAAGACAGAAGTCTAATTTAGTTTTCTTCTTTTTTTTACTTACATTCTTTTTTACCTACCTTGGACATTACCAAGGAGCTCTAGTGGTGTAGTACTTAAGGCATTTGGCTGCTAATCAAAAGTCGGTGGTTTAAACCCAACAGCCTCTCTGCAGAAGAAAGATGGGGCAGTTTGCTTCCGGAAATTGAATCGGTGGCAGTGAGGGTTTTTTTTTCCCCCCTGAGTTTATGTACATTACCAGTAATTCTTTAGCCGTAAGCTAAAGTGATTAATAGACTTATAAAACAAGGGCGGACTAATAATCCATTTTTAAAAAACCTATAGTTAGTTAATATTTTGTTTTATATAAACTTTGAGTTTACTGCTTAATCATTTCCTTCAATACCTTCTGTGAACTGAGATGTTTAGTAAACACTAAAATTCTATAGTCCAAAGAAAGATATTAAGATAAAATGTAATAACTTAAAATTCACAAGTCTTGTTTTATGGATACAATTTTAAATTTGCAGTTGAATTTTGTTGATATTTCTAATTTCCATGACTTAGTAGAATACTTAGGAGCTCTGGTGGCATAGTGCCGAAGGCATTTGACTGCCAACCAGAAGGCTGGAGGTTCAAATCCACCAGCCACTCCTTGGAAGGAAGGTTGGTCAGTCTATTTCCGCAGTGATACCGCCTCGGAAACCCAAGGAGGGGTCGTTATGAGACGGATCCGACTCAAAGGCAGTGGGTGTTTAGTAGAATACTTAAAAATTAAAGTCTTACAATTCCTGTGGTTTACAGGGCTAGTTTAGGTGAAGCCTGGTCTTCAGTTCAGGCCTTCTGATAATCTATCCAGTTCCTTCCTCATTCTTCTCTACCTCTTCCTTCCAATATATTCATACTCTCTCTGATCCTAAACGTATCTATGTATTGTTGTCAGGTGCCATCAAGTCAGTTCCAACACATTGCAACACTGTGTGTGACAGGATGAAACACTGACTGGTCCTGCCCCCATCCTCACAATTGTTGATATGTTTGAATCCATTGTTATAGCCACTGAATCAGTCCATTTTGTTGAGGGTCTTCCTCTTTATTGCTGACCTTCTACTTTGCCAAGAGTGATGTCCTTCTCTAGGGACAGGGCCCCCCGATAACATATCCAAAAATGTGGGATGAAGTTTTGCCATCTTTGTTTCTAAGGTTGTACTTCTTCCAAGACAGATTTGTTTGTTCTTCTGGCAGACCATGGTATATTCAGTATTCTGCACTAACACCATAATTCAAAAGCATCAATTCGTCTTCAGTCTTCCTTATTCATTATTCAGTTTTTTGCATGCATATGAGCCAATTGAAAATACTATGCTTGGGTCAGGTGCACTTTAGTCCTCAAAGTAACATCTTTGCTTTTCAACACTTTAAAGAGATTTTTTGCAGCAGATTTGTCCAGTGCAATAAGTTGTTTGATTTCTTGACTATTGCTTTTGCTATCATGGGCATTGATTATATATCTAAGTATATGTAAGTGTGTATATATTTATATTCATAAATATGTATGTAAAAAATAATATGTATATATGTATTTATACTTTTACTGAGTTGGAAGGTAAAAAATATAATAGAAAGTAGGGAGTAATGCTGATAAATTTAAACACTATCAAAGTTTCAGTATTTAAACCAAAAAAAGCAAACCAAATTCACTGCCATTGAGTCAGATTTGACTCATAGCGACCCCTCCTTGGGTTTCCGAGGCGGTATCACTGCAGAGGTGATTGTCCAACCTTCTGAGGAGTGGCTGGTGGATTTGAACTGCCAGCTTTCTGGTTAGCAGTCAGATGCCTTAGGCACTATGCCATATTAACAAACTTGGTTATTATTAATATGTTTATGATTCTGGTGATCTACTTCCCAAAGATCACAGCTGTTGAACCTTACAGGATACAGTTCTGCTCTTGAAGCCCATGGGGTAGCCATGAGTCAGAATCAACTCAGCAGCAGCTGGTTTTCCAAACCTGGTAAATATTTAAGACTATGGTGATTTTTGCATTTTCAGCCTTAGAAATTAGAAGACTAGAAATATTCTAATCCCTGAAGAAAATGTGTCCAGCATTTATTGATTCCCTATTAAATTATAGGTCTGAGAAAGCAAAGATGCCCTAGATAGGCAAATTTAATTTGAAATCTATGATGATAGACTTACTTTTCACAATCATAGATTTTTTTTGTGTGTGTGTGGGTTTATGTTTTTGACATAATTTTGTTAAGACCAAATATACACTGTTTAGAAAATGACAGTTCTCTTATGTGACTGACTTGGTAGCAGTTGCCCAATGATGAAACTTCCTGTGGTAGAGGAGGTATAGAAAGGGAGGGAGTAGGAGGCCTAGGGAAATATAACAGAAGAAGATAATGTTTAATATATACAAAATGTATACTATACAGGATTTTTGTAAGTTGTTATTTGCCATTGAGTTTATTCCACTTTGTGGCAACCCTATGTGTGCAGAGTAGAACTGCTGTATAGGGACCTTTTGAAGCAGATAGCCAGGTCTGTCTGTTGTGGTGCTTCTGGGTGGGTTTGAACTACCAAACTGTCAGTCGAGTGCTTAACTGTTGCACCACCGGGGACTCTTCAAAACTAAAATGTCATGTGTATTAGATTTCTGCTCTGGCAAATTCACTTTGTAAGTTAATAGGCAATATAAAGTAATACATTTAAAGGGAACTGATAAATTATAAGATCCTTGTGATCTTTGTCAGAAAAAATAATGGGGAAGGTGACTGAGAGCATAATTTCAAGATGTTTTGTGGTTTGACTTGTTGATTAATAAAAAGCTATAAAGAAGGCTGCTTAGGGATGCTTAAAGGAATTAGTGATGAGCTGGTTACAGTAATGCAGTAGTAATAGCAGTTACTGTAAGCCAGGCACTACTCTTGAATTTGTTTTCATTTATTCTTACCTAATCAACTATTTATTTAATCTTAACTGAAAGGTCCTTCTTTTCATGGAAAAAAAAAAAAAAAAAACCTTTCACTGAAACCACAGCATTAAACAGATGAACTTTCTGGTATATAAATGATAATCTCATTAAAGTTTTTAAAAGCTTTTTTAAAAAGCACACCCCACAACCCACTGCCATCGAGTCAGTTCCAACTCACAGCAACCCTATAGGACAGTGGAACTGCTCCATAGGGTTTCCAAGGCTATAAATCTTTACAGAAGCAGACTGCCACATCTTTCTCCTGTGGAACAGCTGGTGGGTTCGAACCACCAACCTTTTGGTAACAGTGTAATGCTTTAACCACTGCTTCTATATATCCAGTATTTATCACAAATAAAAGAAAGTCTATATTGTTGGGGACATGTATGTGAATTGTATAAAACCAGAAATAGGAATAACACCAATAAATAGGGATAACACCAACAGGACTGTTGTGGTTTTTTCTTTTTGTTTGTTTTGTTTTCTAGAGTGTGGTAGGAGAGAATGACAGTATAGTGGGACATTAACCAAATCTCTTATATTTAATTTTTTGTGAAAAATCTGGAATAAACATGAAAAATGTTAGTTAAATCTGAGTGCTGTGTACATGGGTGCTTGGTATATTTTCTTTTGTACTTTTTTGTATATTTTAAATATTTCTCAAAATATTTTTCAAAGACTAGTAGAGTATTTGAGAATTTAAAATGTCTTCAACACATTTTCTAAGGGTTTTTTATATCTTCATATACCTTGTGAGGCAGGGTCTATATCACAATATAATCATTCTTCTTTTATCAGGTTACTGATACGTTTCTTTCCCTTTTACAGATAATGGCATCAGCTGCTAAGGAATTTAAAATGGACAACTTTTCACCTAAAGCTGGCACTAGCAAATTGCAACAGACAGTACCAGCTGATGCATCTCCTGATTCTAAGTGTCCTATATGCTTGGATAGATTTGATAATGTGTCTTACTTAGATCGCTGCCTACATAAGTTCTGTTTTCGCTGTGTACAGGAGTGGTCAAAAAACAAAGCTGAATGTCCACTATGTAAACAGCCTTTTGATTCTATTTTCCATTCTGTGAGGGCAGAAGATGACTTCAAGGAATATGTCCTAAGGCCTTCATACAATTTTGCCACCCCTGATGCTCGACATTTTCGCTACCGTACAACTATGACAAGGGACCGAAATACTTCTGTTTATTCACCTAGTACTACCATGAATAGAAGAACAACAACTCCACCAGATAGTGGAGTGCTATTTGAAGGGTTAGGCATCTCAACAAGACCTAGAGATGGTGAAATTCCTCAACTTATGAGACAGATTGCAATAAGGAGGCCAACTACTGCAGATGAAAGATCTTTGCGGAAGATTCAAGAGCAGGATATTATTAATTTTAGACGAACTCTGTATCGTGCTGGTGCCCGTGTTAGAAATATTGAAGATGGTGGCCGCTACAGGGATATTTCAGCAGAATTTTTCCGTAGAAATCCAGCTTGCCTTCACAGATTAGTTCCCTGGTTAAAACGTGAACTTACAGTTCTTTTTGGAGCGCATGGATCGTTAGTGAATATTGTCCAGCACATCATCATGAGTAATGTTACTCGCTATGACTTGGAAAGTCAGGCATTTGTGTCTGATTTAAGACCATTTTTACTTAACCGGACTGAGCATTTTATACATGAATTTATCAGTTTTGCTAGATCTCCTTTTAACATGGCAGCTTTTGATCAGCATGCTAATTATGATTGCCCTGCACCGTCATATGAAGAAGGCAGCCATTCTGATTCTTCAGTCATAACAATATCTCCAGATGAGACTGAGACCCAAGAGCTGGATATTAATGTAGCCACTGTTAGTCAAGCACCATGGGATGATGAAACTCCAGGGCCGTCTTATTCAAGTTCAGAGCAGGTACACGCTGCCATGTCGTCCCTTTTAAATACTTCTGACAGTTCAGATGAAGAACTTGTAACAGGAGGAACCACATCTCAGATACAAGGAGCACAAACCAATGAAGATCTAAATAATGACAGCGATTCTTCTTCAGATAATTGTGTCATTGTTGGATTTGTTAAACCACTAGCTGAGAGGACCCCAGAACTTGTTGAACTATCCTCTGATTCTGAGGAGTTAGGCTCTTATGAGAAAATGGAGACAGTGAAGACACAAGAACAAGAGCAGTCTTACAGTTCTGGTGATAGTGATGTTAGTAGATGTTCATCTCCACACTCTGTCCTTGGGAAGGCTGAGCGCATAAATAAAGGTCATTGTGATTCTGGTACAAGAATCAAATCAAAGAAGGAAGAGAAACGATCCACATCATCATCTCCCAGAGACCTGAGTTCATCTGTGAGAGGAGACAGAGTTTATTCTCCACATAACCATAGACACAGAAAGAGGGGAAGATCAAGAAGTTCAGATTCATGTTCCCAGAACAGGAGTGGGCATGATCAGAAGAATCGTAGAAAGCATCATGGTAAGAAAAGAATGAAAAGCAAACAATCCAGAAGCAGAGAGAGTAGCAGACCTAGAGGTAGACGAGACAAAAAGAGATCAAGAACTAGAGATAGCAGTTGGTCAAGAAGAAGCCAAACTCTGTCCCTAAGTAGTGAAAGCACAAGCAGATCAAGGTCTCATAGCAGTGATCATGGCAAAAGACGGTCACGGAGCAGAAACAGAGATCGTTATTATTTGAGAAATAATTATGGAAGCAGATACAAGTGGGAATATACTTACTATAGTAGAAACAAGGACAGAGATGGTTATGAGTCATCTTATAGGAGGAGGACTCTGTCCAGAGCTCATTATTCTAGACAATCTTCAAGTCCAGAATTTAGAATTCAGTCCTTTTCTGAAAGGACAAATGGTAGAAAAAAGAATAATCACAGTGAAAGGAAATATTATTACTATGAAAGGCACAGATCAAGGAGCCTGTCTAGTAATAGATCAAGGACTGCTTCAGCAGGGCCTGATCGAGTAAGAAGTGAAAAGCCTGGAGGGAAACGAAAATATAAAACACGGCATTTAGAGGGTACTAATGAAGTGGCTCAACCATCCCGTGAATTTGCTTCTAAAGTAAAAGACAGTCATTACCAAAAATCTTCATCAAAATTAGATGGAAACTATAAGAATGAGAGTGACAGCTTTTCAGACAGTCGATCATCAGACAGAGAGACAAAACACAAGAAGAGAAAAAGGAGGACCCGGAGCCTAAGTGTAGAGATAGTTTATGAAGGGAAAGCTACTGATACAACTAGACATCATAAAAAGAAAAAGAAGAAACACAAGAAGAAGCATAAGAAACACCACGGAGACAATGCTTCGCGTTCCCCAGTTGTAATTACCATCGACAGTGATAGTGATAAGGATTCTGAAGTTAAGGTAGATCCAGAATATGACAATAGTGGTCCTCCACACTCTGTACAAAATGAGTTTTTGCCTCCTTCGTTGGACCCGTTTGAAACTAAAGATGTAGTTACAATAGAAGATGAATTTGGTATCCTGGACAAGGAGTGTGATATTACCACACTCACTAACAACCTGGATGATGCCAACAAAACTGTGAGTAATATTCTACCCCAGGCAACTTCAACTGAACAAAATCTTGATGTAAGAGAAGAGAGCACATTTGCTTCTGACTTGGAGACCCACCCCAGTAATGTATCTGTTCACACTGAGCCATCAAGGCAATTGCCATCTCCACGGACATCATTAATGTCAATATCTCTTAGTAGAGACCATGTTATGTCTTAAAACTGCCAAAGCATCTCATTGAGAATTCTGATTGTCTGAAAAGAAGGAAATAATGAAAGGAACAATGTCATCTACTGTGGTCTATTTAAAGATGACTCTTGATGAAAACTCTTTTTTCCATTAAAATAATTTTAAGTGTTTTTTTGTGTTAAAAATTTGTATGAAAGCATTTTATTTGTTTGAAAGTTATGTTAAGTCCCACCTTCAGAGATATGCACTTTTAAGTGAAGAAAATGATATTGCTAGCAATTTATTTAAAACTTGGGCTCCTTTTTAAATAAAAAATGTAAATTTTAGAAGTTATTTCATAAAGCCATATGGTATTGACATATTTTTAAAGTAGTCAATGAGTATTTTTGAATTTTTTGTTTTTCTGAGAGTTATTCTGAAAATGTGTTATAAGCTAGAGGAATCCCTTTGGACAGTCTTTATTTTTCTTCTTAAAGGCAAATTTGTATGGATTCAAAACTTTCTTCAGGTTAAATTGGGGCATTTTAATCTGCACAGTTTATGTTGACATCTGCCAAAAGAAAAATTTAAACATTTCCTTTATATACTTGTTTATCTGGACTGCCAGTAAAACAAATGTGTATTCAACTAAAGAAAAAAATAAAACAGCAACACTTTAAAACAAGAATTCAGACATTTTTCTATGTAAGAATTGATTTAAAAAAAAAAAAAAAGTTATGGAGCTAAAACCTTGAAAATAGCTAAGGATATAGTTGTGTCATAAATACTGAATTTCAGATGATCTACATTTACCCTCACAGTTTTAATGACTGTTTTAGTTCCTTAGTCCGAGTATGAGTAGTATCTTACTTGCTTTCTGTGTCAAGCAAAATGCAGTTATTTAACATTTAGCTTACTAGAAAAAAAACCCTTTGTTACACTTCTTTTACATTGGTAGTTCTTTTATACAACTATGTTTATGTTTTAGAGATGATAAAATCGTTCTATGTTAACAGTGAGGCAAGATCACCAGTGAACAGGTGAGCTCAAATTAAATTCAGCCTTCAGTTTGCCTGCTACCATATTTGTACAGTATTCAACAGATACTGGAATGTCTGCTGTGTGGCAGGTTCTATACTAGGCTTTCAGGGAGTCAGTGATAGAGCAGAGCAGACACACTTCTGCCCTCATGGGGCTTTGTTTTGGTCACGTGCCACTCTAGGGACTGGGTGAAAGCCCCTTGACCTTGGGCTTCAGCTCTGCCTCTTGATCCCGGCCCACCAAAGCTGAAGGCATCTCTTAGCTCAGGCAGCTGCTGGCTGCTGAGGCTGACAAACCCAAGGTTGATAAGTAAAATGGCATGGTCCCAGGATTATCAAGCGATTTGGCAGGCCACTAATTCATGTCCATTAATAATCCCTAGATCAGCAGACAACATGGCAGGCCACTGAGATGAAGACACGGCTAAATGCAGGTTCCAAGTATTAACAAAAAGCTGAGAGACCTTTCTCAAGGCTTCTCTTTTTCTATTCTGGAAGCAGACCACATCCCTAAGGCAGCTACTCACCTGCTCCAGTAGATTCTATGTGGATTTGATTACCAGTTTCATCATGGGGAATAACTACATCTAGTTACCCAGGCATTCAAAACCAGGTCCAGCCAAGTAGACACATACCTTCCACAAGCTTGCAGATTATTGAGTAAGACAGTACTCCTGTAGCTTTAACATTACAAACTATAGGTTCTCTGGAGAGAAAGTATAGTTTGCTATAAGAGGCCAAGGTCTTTTCTAATGGGGGCCTGATCTCGGGAATTGATGGTTGTCCAGAAGGCAAGTAGGTATTAAGACTTTCATAACCTGTGAGACATATATTGCCCACTAACATTTTCATTCTCAGGTTGTAGTATGTGCTGCTGCCTGGTGGGGACTTGTCTAATCCTGAATCTGAAGAAATGGGCTTCACCCCACTGGTCCTACCCCAGAGTCCTCCTTGGGACATATGTGTCCCACATAATTGTATCAAAATCCATATTAACCTCAAATATTTTTTCCCCTTGATTTCTGAATGCCTTTTTTTACTGAAAACATGTTATTGACAGAAAATTAAAAGCAGAAGATAATTTGGTCATAAAAAGTTTAACTAGGAGTTGAGCTGCTACACAACTGCCCAAAGGAAAAGATACACAAAGATCCAAAGGCCAAAGACCAAGCTCTGTTTAGAGTTTGTGTTTATCTTCAGGTAGTAGGAAGCTGCCTTAAAATTAAAAGAATCTGAAATTGATGTAGGCAGTTTTTTAATTAAACTCAGATATTGAGAGATTGTGGGAAGACTAGCTGACTGAGGAATATACTCTCAAATTATGAAATTGCTTTGTATCTACAATATGATTTTTCTTAATATTAAAATGCAAGAGTGCTATTTTCTACATCCTGATTTTACATTGTGTTCTTAGTTAAACATTAAATGAAAACCTTTCTTAATTCAGGGAGCTCTGGTAGCGTAGTGCCTAAGGCATTTGACTGCTGACAGTTCAAACCCACCAGCCACTCCTTGGAAGGAAAATGGGGCAATCTACTATCAGAGTGATAGTACCTCAGAAACCCAAGGAGAGGTCTCTATGAGTTGAATCTGACTCGACGGCAGAATTTTGTATCTTAATTCATATCACCATCATACTCTTCTTACATGTTCAAATAAAAAATTTCCAAGCCTTGGGTTTTCTCTCCCCCTTAAGCCCCTCATCAGTCACTGAATCCTGGTTGGTACCATTTTTTCAATTTTTAAAATTTTCATTGGGTCTTCATCATCACTCAGTTTAAGCTGCTGCCGTTCCTCACCTGTTCCATAACTGCCCTGGGCCAAACTGCATCCACTATTTATTGCACCCCACCCCTTTCCCTAATCTACTCTTGTGGTGGTATTCAGAAAAACTTCAAAACAAAAAACATCTTTCATTTCCCTATTTTAAATACATAAGCTTCCCATACTTAAAAGCAGACACGTACACAAAACTGAACAACTTGATGTGGCCTGTAAATCTCTGCCGGATCAGGCTGTGGTCTATCCAGCTTTCCTCGCTTCACTTGGCTCTAGCCACACTATGAAGGTCCTGCTCCCTTCCTACTACCTCAGAACCTTCAACATGGCAGTTGTTTTTGCTGAGAACTGAATTCCATCTGGCCAAACAGGGTTTAGGAGCTCTGGTGGTGTGATTAAGCATTCAATTGCTAACCAAAAGGTAGCTGTTCAAACCCACCACCACTCTGCAGAAGAAAGATGGGCATTCGCTGTCTTTAAAGATTTACAGCCTTGGAAGCCCTGTAGGGCAATTCTGTTCTGTCTTACGGGATACTGTGAGTCAGAATCAATTCAATTACAGTGGGTTTGGTTCAGTCAAACAAGGTTTTTGTTAAAGTGTGCTCCTCCCCACTATTTTCCTCTTAATTACTCATTCAACACTGAACTTTCAGATCCCTGAGCACAATTTGAATTGATTACTAGATGTCTTACCCCAACAAAACTGTATGCTATCCCCATTCACTATTTCCTTTCATTTAGAAAATACTTAAAATCACAGAGATTTGAAAAACTGACCTGCTTTCTGCTTTAAGGAAGCTCCACTTATAAACATTTTTAGCCTAATATTTCATCGGAATTCAGTGCTATAAGATGTTTCATTGTACCTCAATTTTCGGTGTTTTTGTGATATATTTCTGTAAAGGAAACTAATCATGCTCATTAGTGCCTTCCGCCAGCTCACTTAGAATCTTGTTAGGATTTTAACTTCCTAGTTGGGAGCTCTGGTAGCATAGTGGCTAAAGCACTTAACTGCTAACCAGAAGGCTGGCGGTTCAAACCCACCAGCCACTCCTCGGAAGGAAGGTTGGGCAATCCTACTTCCGTAGTGATACTGCCTCGGAAACCCAAGGAGGGGTCGCTATGAGTCGGGGTTGACTCGATGGCACATAACAACACAACAACAACAACAAGTCTAAGGAGTAGGAGCTCTGGTAGCATAGTGCCTAAGGCACTTGACTGCTAAACAGAAGGCTGGCAGTTCAAACCCACCAGCCACTCCTCGGAAGGAAGGTTGGGCAATCTACTTCCATAGTGATACCACCTTGGAAACCCAAGGAGGGGTCGCTATGAGTCAGGTCAGACTCGACAGCATATAACAACAACAGTCTAAGTAGTAAGGAGCCCTGGTGGAGCAGTGGTAAAGTGCTTGGCTGCTAACCTAAAGGTCAGTGGTACAAACCCATCAGCCACTCTGGGAGAAACATGAGGCAATCTGCTTCTGTAAAGATTACAATCTCAGAAATCCTATGGAACAGTTCTTCTGTGTTCTACAGGGTCGCTTTAAATCGGAGTTGACAGCAATATGGTATGTGTAGTCTTAAGTACAGGTGTGCATAGATTAATGTCTGTTTGGCAAGTCATACTTCTGTGGTCCCATATGGTCATAACAGAGTTCAGAAATCCTGATGGGAGAATGGGACATAGTAGAAATAGTTCTCTGAGTATGGAGATCTGACCTGTCTCTCACCAGCTCTCTGACCCTGTGTCTGCCAGGGGTGGCAGGGTGAGGGACTTCTGGTAGCCACCCACAGACACCTGTCCCACCGTGTTCACCTCTGGCACTGCCAAGGGGGATGCCCCCCAAGGCTGCCCCATTCAGCTGGGTGCCCTGCTCATTATGCCTGGGCGTGAGGCCCCAACTCCTCTCACCTTGGTGGCCACTGGGCTTTGACTGCAGCCATAGCAGGAACAGGAAAGGTGGCCAAGGAAGGAGGAGAGGATGGATGGACAGGGCTAGAAAAGTTTAAAGCCCACTAGGGGAGCTTGGAAGGCAGGATGGGAGGAAGGAAGGGAACAGAGCTGCCAATAGTGGCCAGGAGGCCGCAGGCACAGTTCATGGAGACGAGTGACCACAAAGGACTAGTGGTGGTGGAGCCAAAATTTTCATGCAGTCCCTTGGCACAGCTGCCTTGATGGTGAGGCAAGTAAGGGACCATCCTATGAGCCTATCTTCTATATATAATAATGGTGTTTGCACAGTGTCCAAATTACATAATGTCCTGTTTCACAGAATGAATCTAATTGTGGACGTTAAGTAATGCATCCAAAAAGCCAAACCAAATTCACTGCCATTGAATCAGATCCGACTCATAGTGACCCCTCCTTGGTTTTCTGAGGTGGTATCACCATGGAAGTAGATTGCCCAGTCTTCCTACTGAGGAGTGGCTGGTGGGTTTCAAATGCTAGCATTCTGGTTAGCAGTCAAATGCCTTAGGCATCAAGCCACCAGAGCTGTTAAGTAATGCATACCTGTAGTCCAGTTCGACCTCAGCTCACTAAACCATCTAATCTCTAGTAATGGTGAGTGGTGGGTACTAGGGGAAGGAATTAAATGACAGCAGACTAACTGCAAGTTCAAGGAATTCTTCCATGGCTGGGCATCATTGCAGTCTCCTGCCAGTGCAGAGTAGGCACATGCTAAGGCAACAAGCACTGTATCTCTGGACTTGGAAAATTTTTCTGAAGGTGCTGAAGCTGCCAGAATCCACACTTTACTTGGGCTGGGCTATAATCAGCCTGGGGGTGGAGTGAGGATGGGAAAGGCAGGTGGAAGGGAGGGGTGGAGGTGAGAGTTCTTCTATGTCACACAGGTTCAAAAAATGGAAATGTAATCAATTAAGAGCAGGTATCTATTGCTAACATGAAGCTCAGTAGACCAATGTACAATCAACATGTTGTGGTGTTGGGTGCCATCGAGTCATTTCCGACTCATAAAGACCCTATGCACAACAGAATGAAACACCGCCTGGTCCTGTGCTAGCTCTGCAATCCTTGCTATGCTTGAGCCCATCGCTGCAGCCACTGTGTCAATCCATCTCGTTGGGGGCCTTTCCCTCTTTCGTTAGCCCTCTA